CTTTTCCTTGCTAAGTAGAATTTTACCAAGTGGATGCTCCGAGGTTTGATTACCCATTCAACAGCTGAAGGATGCTTGGCTTGTTTCCAATGTTTGTTGATTCTGAATAAAAATGCTAAAACTTTTCACACAGACTTCCTGTGCGATCCCAGGAGTCTGTCGGTTGCATGCCTGTCACCCTTTATAGGACACCAATCTGTTGTCCCCGGCTGCTCTCCTACCAGCAAGATATGACAGTTCAAGTTGCTCCTTCTCTTCACCACACTTGGTGAAGAGCTCAGCAGTGGGCAGGATGGGAGGTGGGAGACGGCAGATGGTCCCCAGGGATGAATATGCCGACTCATCCTGAGTCCCTACATACATGCAGGGACTGAGTGGCCAGTGGACATACAAGGAGATGCTGCTGCCTCTGAAGTTGGCGGATTTGCATGTTTGTCACGTGACGTTAGGACTCCCCCCCCCCCATGGCTCCACCTAGGGATAAGTGGAAGTCGGGGAGGGAGGAGAGAAGCAGCACAAGTGTTGCAGTCCTCAAAGATCAGAGGAAGAGAAGCTATAAATAAGGTCACTCAGTGAGAGCCCTTCTATATGAACGGAGTCCCAACAGCCCAGCCAGGCCTGCGAGTGGACGCAGTTAAGACAGTGAGGCCCACCACCGCTACCGCCACCAGGGGGCGCAGTGAGACGCCCCTGAATGTTACCCGTGCCTGGCAGCCCAGGTTCCCATAGTTTTCCCATTCCCTGGGAGCCCTGCAGCGGGAAAGGGAGAGAAGGGAAGACTTGCTGTTGAATAAATGTGAGATAAAAGCCTAGGGACTCCTCAAACTAATTGGGGGGGGGGGGAGGGTCCTTTGCGGGTACAAAACTTGTATGGACAAGGAGGAGCCTAATGCCTTCATCATTTGGGTAATTTGTGATTTGATTGTGCAGATGACTCTGGTAACTGTGCCTATGATAACAAGAAGAGTATTCTGTTAAAAAAAAGTTTCTGCAAATTTAAAAGTATTGTAAATTAGAGGGTTGGAAGCTGGCATATCAATTATAAATATATTTAGTAGCAAGTAAAAGAAAATCAAACCAACAAGAGCTCAGAGCTAATGAGAAGTCTGGGTGGAAGCAGGCTACATAGGATAGACCAGCATCTCACTGTATCATCACACCCATTGCTTCTAGATTTTTCTTCACCTGTCATCAGTGTGTCAATTTGTAGCCTCAGGGTCATAAGATGGCTGCTGAAGTTTAGGCATTGTATCGGTATTCAAGACTAAAAGAAGGAGGGAGGTGGGCTGGGGAAGTTAGCTCAGCGGCATAAGCGCCTGCCTGGCAAGCACAAGGTCATGAGTTCAATCCCCAGTACCGCAACAAAAAAAAAAAAAAAAAAAGGAGGGAGGTATGAAAAGATGACACCAATTGAATGTATTCCTTAAATCAGAAAAAAAAACCTCACAAAATCTTCCTAAGAAAACACTCATCTCATTGTCCCACATTTAGGCCCAACGTGAGTCAGCCCCCAGCCAAGTATATTTTGAACCCTTGTCCTGGATGCAGAGTAGAGTTTAGAGATCCCAGCTGTAAAGGCAAGGTCCCCTCAAGGGGTTCTTTTCTTTTAGTACTAGGGGTCACACTAAGTTACCTTCCCAGCCCTCTTCTTAAATTTTATTCTGAGACAGGATCTCACTAAATTGCTAAATTGCCCAGACTGGGCTGACACGTTCAGTCTTCCTGCCCCAATCTACCAGAAGTGCTAGGGATTACAGGCTCTGTGCCCAGCAAAGGGTGAATGATTTGAGGAAGGAGTAAGGAGCAGCCAGCTTCACAGCCCGCAGCCAAGGAGTTCTGCTGTAACACTTGACATCAGGCCAGATGGTCCCTCCACCTCCAGGAGATCAGGAGAGCTCTTTAAGGTCTGTGGGCAATTGAAGAGATCAGAGATGATGGCCCAGGAGTCCAGCATGCATGCTAGCCAGCCAGGGGCCAAATTTCAGTGAATCTCCTCTTGAGGAGCTGGCCTACTGGGGGAATGTTATAGGATTTTGGGTTTCCACAGAGATTCTTTCCAGGTTCCTGGTGTCCTAAATAAACAATTGAACAAGACATATGCTTAAAAAATAGGAAAGATTTACATTTGTTAAGGTAGAAAAAAAAGTGCACTCTGGAGTGAGAGCAACCACTAAGAAAAGCTCACAGCAGTCATGAGGTTAATGATGGTGGCAGCGGTGGTGGTGGCGGCGGTGGTGGTGGTGGGTTTTGTATCTCTCTTTCTTCATCCTGACGTCAGTTCTAGGCCATCCTATCAGAAACCTGCTTGACTTTGCACCAGATATCTGATTGGTCCCAGATGCAGGGTTTGGAAACTGTGTTCTGGGTCTCAGTGGTTGACAGGTCACGCCCACTTATCCACTGAGTTTAGCCTACTCTAATCCCCCACCTCAGAAGGGCCCCTGTTTGCAGGCCCATGCAGGTGGTGTGGGTGAGCTGAAGCAATAAGGCCTCCTCACCCACAGTGGGCCTATGTGGGTTGTGCTCTTTCTCTGCTGGCTGTTTTGAAGGTGCAAGGGGATGAGTCTTCAGTCATCTAAAATGAATCAGAAAATTCTATGCAGTAAATAAGCCCTCAATATAGCAATTTTGCCCTCAGGGGGGAAAAATTAAAAGCAAATAGGGGGAAAATAGAGAAATAGAAGAAGAGAAAGAGATTAGAAGCAAGGCTGGAAGATTAAGAAAGATCACACAAACACTGGGAAACTGGTGAAGACAAGAGGGAAAGAAATAAGGAAGAAATAAAAACAAGAACAAAATGGAAAAACAACATCCACACCAAAAAAAAAAAAACCCTAGAAACTGTGTTCACACTCATACAAAAACAAGAACAGCTGGGCACGGTGATAGATAGCTGTAATTCAAGCATTTGGGAGCCTGAAGCAGAAGGACCCTTCAGAGTTCAAGGCCAGCCTGGTTACAAATGAGTTCAAATCCAGCCTGAACTGCATAACAAAACCCTGCCCAAAAGGCCCCAAAAAACAAAAAGTAGCAGCAGCAGCAGAGGAAGAAGGAGGAAGAGGAAGAGGAAGAGGAGAAGGAAAAGGAGAAGAAGAAGAAGAAGAAGAAGAAGAAGAAGAAGAAGAAGAAGAAGAAAAAGAAGAAGAAGAAGGGGAGGAAGAGAAGAGGAGGAGGAGGAGGAGGAGACAAAAGAGGAGGAGGAGGAGGAGAAGGAGAAAATGTCCACTGTAAGGAGTGTCTCTGCTACAGACAATGTGGATAGATAGAGTTCAGATCCAAGCTGATTAATCCCAGCAAACCAGCCATAGCTTATGGCAGGGTAGTGGATAATCCCAACAAGCCCATAGTCCCACTGAAATTCAGGCTGGCTTCTAGCTGTGAGGCTGGAACCAGGTTTGTTCAACCTGGAACAGTCTCCTGGAACATGCATCTCCTGCCCACTTAAACTGAGCTTCCTGACCTCCCGCAGGTTTGCTTAGCAGCCTGACCCTGTCCCTGGGAACCACTAGATGGAGCTCGAAGTTCTGAGTTCTGAACTCAGCTCCAGGGATTACTGAGCCCACTAATAATGCTGAGACGCCTGAAATAGCTCCTCAGGAGAGCGATGAGAGACATACAAAGCAATTGTGCACCCCTTCCATATCAGCCCTGCCCCTCTCTTCTTTCCTCTTAAATAATAGCAGGGTAACAGCCTCAGGATTTGTCTTCCTCTGTCCCTTTGTATGTATAATCCCCAACAGTTTATCTTCTGATCCATCCTTTCTTTCTTTCCTTCCTTTCTGTTTTCTTTCACTTTTTGAGTCAAGGTTTCCATATGTGTTTCAGGCTGACCTTGAGCAATCCTTTTGCCTCAGCTTCCAGAGTGCTGAGATTACAAGCATGTGCCACTAAGGCCAGCAATTTACCATAATTTGAAAGGATAATAGATCCTGAGTTTAGGATGCGGAGTGCCCTGGTCCTGGTTCCACAATGGTCTCTAAATGTGACTGTATATTTTAAAACTGTACTGCCAGCAAAGGACACATGCAGGCACGTACACACACATACACACAAACACACACACACACACACACATGCATACACACTCAGTCTGCACTGCCTTTGAAAGGATTTATCTTTCCTCCACCACCCCTGACTGAAAACATTTTATAGCAAAGTAAGGCCATCTCTTTCTCCTGCTGTCTGCTAGACCATTTTGGGGTGGTTCTATCAGGCCCTCCCATTCACATACCCACCCCAGCCAACTCAACCCTTCAGTGCCCAGGCAGCCAGGCAAGGGCTCCCTTGGCTAGAAGACAGGACCTGATCCAAGAGATCAGAGGCCTGCAGAATCTGCTGAGGGAAAGTGGGAGTTAGCCTGTGTTCTGAGCAGGCAGGAGGCCATACCGATACTCTCAGCCTGGAGCACTCTCACCCAGCTACGGTGTGAGGTCAGGGGAGGAGACTGTGCTTTGGTCCACAGAGCCTGCTCCCTTCCTGCGTTGCTGTTTCCTTGGCAAGGAGCAATTTATAGAATTAGCAGTGAGTCACCGCTTGAATCAGCTCCTGGCAGGTAGAAGCAGGTTCAACCTGGGACATGAGATTCTGATGGTAGCCCTGGCTGACCTGAACACCTGCACTCCAGCCCCTGCAGCCTGAGGCTCCCTGGGTCCCAGTAGGGGACAGGAAGGAGTGCCATGCTTTGTAGGGGCATGGGCTTCTCCCTCCCCGTCTCACTTTTTGCCTAATCTCTGCTGGTTGTCCCAGCAGGAGGGTTCTTGGGGAGGGAGGGAGGCGAGCCCAGCCAGTGAGGCAAGGCACAACCTCGAAGGTGTTGCAACCTCACAAGTCACACACGCAGGTGATGACATTGAGCCCTGGGTGGGAACCAGGGGTCAGCAAAGCCCCAGGTGGTCAGGCAAAGCACAACCTTGTCTCACACATGCCTCCCCTGATTTTAGCCCAAACTGCACTCTTGCTTTCCATTGTCACCATGCATGGGGAAAAAAATAATGTCTCCATTCTGGAGAATAATTTATTGAAAGTGAAGGAATAAATATATAGGTTAAAAACAACTGTAAAAATCATGAACATAACTGTATACTGCAGGCACCCGAGGCCTGGGGGCGGAGCTTGGTGTGGGCGTGGCCTTCCCAGATCCCGCGCGGACATCGGGCGCCCCCAAGAGGTAGATGGCATATTTACAACAGAGGAAGCAGCCGGTGAACTGGTAGTTCCGAGGCTCTAGGAAGGCCTGGCCACGTGGAAGCCTGGGCTGCGCGACCTGTGCCCACGGAGCTGCACACCTTGCACGACCCTCTGTACCCAGGAGCGGTGGACTAGAAGGCTGGTGTAGACGCCTGGCCGGTTGCGCTCTGCACAGCCCTCGCCCCAGCTGATGATTCCTCCCAGCAGCCAGGCATCATTGACCTTGCACATCAGGGGACCCCCAGAGTCACCCTGCGGAGAAAAGAGAAAGTTAGAGACCTGGATGGGACAGGCAGTGGGCAGAGACTCCCTTCCCCCGAGCGGGGGAAGCACTCTGAGCAGCCCTCTCCCACTGGCCTGTGGAGCTGAGTGTCCTTAATTGAAGATCACAGAGAAGAAATAACTTCCACCAGCTAGCAGCATGGGCCTCACCCTGGCCACAAGGACTGATCACTGCTCCATCAGGCCATGCCCATCATGTGTCTGGCTCTGGAGACCCCTTCAGAATGCCAGCTTCCCAGTGTGTGGGAACATGAGTGGGGACCAGGCTGAAGCGGGCTGTCCTGTGGGCAGGGCAGGAAGAGGGTGAATGCTCACCACACAGGCGTCCCGCTGCCCCTCCAAGTAGCCAGCACACAACATGTCTTCTGTGATGGCTTCCTGCCCTGCTCCGTGCCAGTACATGCGCTTGCAGACCTCTGAGTCAATAATGGGCACCTTCAGCTTCTGCAGAGTTTGTGGATAGGGAAGAGGCACTGGGAACAGAAGGAGAGAGTCAGACTGGGCCTCCCGGCTGCCCCCTCAGAGGTCCAGTGCTCTCCATGCCCTTCCACAGTATTTCTCAAAGACCAGTGGATCGGCTCTCCCAGGATGCTTTCAGAAAGCCCAAGTTCCAGGTTTCTTCATCTGGACTTACTGATTCCAATATGAATGGCAGCCCAGATTCTGTGAATTTGTTTTTGTTTTTCTGAGGGTGGGGATGTAGTTGTTTGCTTTGTTTTTGGTTTTTGTATTCTTTTTTTGGGAATTGAACTCAGAACCTTGCGTTTGCCAGGTAGGCACTTATGCCACCGAACTATATCCTGGGCCCTTTATTTGTTTTTTACTAGGGACTGAACCTAGAGCCTTCATGCTGAGCTATGTCCCTAGCCTTTTTATATTTTGAGACAAGATCTTGCTAAATTGCCCAGACTGGCCTCAAACTTATGATCTCCCTGGCTAAGCCTCCCAGAGTTCTGGGATCAGCGATGTGTGTGCTATGATACCTGACTCAGATTCTGCATCTTTATTAAGGTGATGCCCACAAGATAATCAAACAGTCTGTGTTTCCTGCCTTGGAGACTACTTTGACCAGCATAAGGACTATAGGGTGTTTAGTAAACGTCTCCTTGGTTCTGAATATCTTGCAGCCACATAGGAAACCACCCCCCCCCACACACACACACACACGCACGCACACACATGCACACACATGCACACACATGCACGCATGCATGCACGCGCATGCATACACATACACTCAGGATTAGTCCATAGCTCCCATGAGGAGGCTGCAACCTCAGACCCCAGCATCCCCTCACACCTCACTTAGTGTCATTTCTGCTGTTGCTTCTGGTCTCTGGCGAGATTCCCTTCTCCCACTACCCTTTGCCCTCGCTGAGTTTTTGTTTCCCTCAAACTGTCCCCAGGTCTATACTGTAACCCTTTTTATAGCACCTTTCTGCTGTTTCTTTTTCTTGACCCAGATTTTGTCTATCCATCTATCTTTTTCTTACTTCTCCTCCACCTCTTGCTTTACTTCACCTGTTTTGTGTTCATACATGATGATTTCCAAACTATCAGTCTTGGTTTCAAAATTATACTTGACAATTCAGGAAACGTGTTTCTTCCTGAGAACTCTGCCTGCAAATGTGGCATTCTGCCACAGGGAGGCGCCCACACCTACTGTAGAATCTTTAAGGCTGATTTCACTTCTAGCTGTCCTCAGATGGCCCAACATTGGCCTCCTTCCACCTATTCTTGGGTCAGCGATTAGCTTTCTCTATTTGGCTGGCTGAAACACAGCTGAAGATATTTCTTTTGTCCTTTTTTTTGGTATCAGAGATTGAACTCAAGATCTTGCGCTTGCAAGGCAGGCACTTATGGTGCTGAGCCAAATCACCAGCCTTTTTTTTTTTGTTTGTTTGTTTGTCTTTTTCAGACAATGTCTTTCTATGCAGTTCAGGGTGACCTTGAGCTCACTTTGTAGCCCAGGCTGGTCTAGTACTTGAAACTCAAAACGATCCTCCTGCCTCAGCCGCCTGAGTGCTGGGATAAGTTTGACTTCGAGCTTGCCAGACAGGCCCTTATGCCACTGAGCTAAATCCTCAGCTCCTGAAGATATATGTAAACCAGAAAAAACCCTAAATATGGCCTCCTGGGTTTCTGTGGTTTCCCATCTCCAGGCTGCAGCCATCTTTTCTCTTTTCTGCCATGTTGGGCCTCTGGCAGCTATCTGCTACTGCTAGTGGTGTCTCTAATGTCTCTAACCCTACTGACCACCCCACCTAAAGTGGGAGGAGCTCACCTCCATCACTGATGCTCCCCCAGCCTGCAATCCAGCAGCTGGTGTTGGGAGGGAGCTGGACGGAGAAGTCAGGCAGGCAGATAGGCAGGACTCGCTCAGAGAACTGAATGGTGTGCTCAAGCTTCACCAGTGCGATATCAGCACGGGATGCTTCCTTCCAAGAGTACTGGGGGTGGGGCAGCACCCAAGCAATGCCCACCTGCTGGGACCGGGGACCCGGGGTCTCTAGTCGCCAGGCCCCCAGCAGCACAGAAAACAGATCCAGCTGGTCTAGGTCACTGGAAGGAAGGGAAAGCAGAAGTTATTGGACACCAGCAAAGACATGAGACCCTGGACAGCAGAACAGGCTTCTAGGCAGTGCAGGGGGGTGGGGAGGAGGTGTCTCTACAGAGGACACCAGGCTGAGACAGAGACTTGGGGCCAGAAACCTGGTTCCAGTGACTCACGACAGCCCAGTCATACGTACCCCTTGAAACAATGGGCGGCAGTGACCACCCAGCGATTGGTGAGCAGGGAACCTGCGCAGTGATGGGTGCCATTTTTCCGGATGCTCACAACCCAAGGCCACTCCGCATCCATGCTGTCCTCTCCACCCACGATCCGGTTTAGCAGCTGGGGCTTCCCACAGTCAGGGGCCACTGGAGGACAAGGAGTCAGATTTTCTGTCACTGGCAGGCACAGATGCCTCTTGCTTGCCTGTAGCTCACCCCACATCCTCAGTCCTGTGTCTGTTCTGCTTCCTCCTCAGCCTGTTGTGCCCTCTGTGCTCTCCTGGCCCACTATGGCCCTTTCTCCTGCTGGGCCTCCAGGGGCCTTACCCAGCCCTTTCTTAGCCTGTCCCTTCTGGCCCTCTCTGCCCACTTAGATCCTTTCCTGCCTCCCTTCCTCCCTGCTCTGTTCCCTCTCATCCCAAGCCTGTCCTTACACAGATATCCAGATCTTGCCTACCTTTAGGTGCCCACCCTCAACCACCCTGTCCAGGCTTCCACTCACCAGGGATCTTCGCACCATTGAGGGAGGCTGAGGAGAACAGAGAGAGAGGGAGAAGGTCATGTTGGCAGTGCAGGAGCCCTCGTCCTCTGGAAGAACCTCAACCCACACTGCACAGAGGTGGCCTTTCCCTCCCTCCACCGACCCAGGGGCGTAGGACAGGGAGAGTGGGGAGAAGAAAGAGACGCAAGACCCACAGACCCAGGTTTCAGCTTCCTCTCTCAGCTCCATGACACCTGGACAGGGCTATCCCAGAGCATGGCCAACTGACCCCCGTACCACCCAGAGGAGCAGGGGAAGATGGGGAGAAACAAGGGAGGACTCAAAGCTAGTAACCGAGCATTCACCTGTGCATGTCACTATCCTCATGGCTGTGGGGGAGACTGCGGTACTGCTAAATGACACGTCAGGAAGAGAGAGCCAAAAGAAAAGCAATAGAATGGAAAGGGGCAGACACTGTCTCCCAGCAAGGCCCAGAGGGAAGGTGTAGAGCCGCAGGGAGAGAGGAGGTGACCCTGGAGAGGGCAGAGGAGGGGAGGGAGGAGAAACGATTCCCCAAGACTTACCTGTGGAAACCAGAAGCAGCAGGGGGATGAGGCTCCCGAGACAGCCCCCACCCAGGGCTCGGAAAGTTCTGGAAACCACCATGCTGGGGGGGTGGAGGCCCAGCCAGACAGTGATCTTGAGGGAATGGAGGCTGTGCTTTTGGGGACTGCCGAGAGAGTCGGTGAGGGAGGCTGTAGTGTGTACAGACAGTCCTGCAGGTCACTCCAGGTTTTATCCTGGAGGCGGAATGCTGTTGGACCGGTCTCTCAGGTAGCTCAGTCTGGGCCACCCAGGTTGTGGGTCACAGAGGAGGTGGGGCAGTGGAAGGAAGTAGCCGTTACCGGGGCTGGGGGCTCTGTCCAAATGTAGCTTCTGCGAGGTGGACAACAGGTGCGTGGAGATGAGCCCATGGTCTGGGCTGTGGCCCTGGCTGTTTAGGAGGCAGAGAAAAGTCCTCAGGACATTGAAGCGGTCCAGACTGGGGAGGAGCTGGGCATGGCTGAGGTTTGGTACCAGGTATCTGGAGCTGGCAGGAGGCAGCATCTCAGTAACGGCTCCCACCTGCAGGGGCCACACTGTCGTGACTCAGACTAGGATGGACCAGGCTCTGGAGTCCCGTTAACCCACTTCCCAGAAGGCTGTGACTCATGTTGAGTGGCCAAGCACAGTGGCCATCCCTGGATCACCTTCCTGTTGTCACCAGGATGTCCAGAGGACCCAATTCCTCATCTAGACTCCTGGGCAGGGCCAAACCCAGTGTTCATAACCTGTAGCGCTCAGAACTACCTGGGAAGGGCGGGAGTTGAGACTCCGTGTCCTATGACCCCATGTTCCCAGACTCCTTTGACTGGGCCCAGAGTGCCCTGGAGGGCTGTCCAGGGGAGGGAGCCAGCCTCACTGATTTTCATCTTGCACTCATGATGCCCTCATCCCAGACAGGAGTGGTGCCACCTCCTTCCATTACTGCCAAGTGAAATGTCACACTGCCACCAAGGAGAGTGTGGTGCGCCCCCTGCAGGTTCCCTAAGCATTGCTACACTGCAGACAGGAAACTGAGGCAGCTAGGGGAGGTTGAGCTGAGAGGTGGAGGCTGAGTTTGACCCTGATCTTGGAGTTATGCTATTGGGCCTGGCCTCAGTGGACCTCAGTCCCACAAGCAGGCCACTGTTGTTGCTCATGGTCACAAAGGCTGGAGGAGAAAGGAGAGGAGACACCAGGAAGAAGAGGCCATGGGCACCCAGCCAGAAATAAGCTGGAAGGTATAGGAACATCACCTGGGATGATGGGGGCAAAGGCTGGGAGAGAGAAGGGAAGGCCAGTGCATCTCTGGAGCTCATGCAGGCCACCCTCTTTGTCCCAAAGGATCGGGCACAGCCTTCCCCATCGGTGCTTTCTGCTGGCTCCATTTTTTTTGGTACCGGAGATTGAACTCACCACTTGTGCTTGCTAGACAGGCACTTACGCTGCTGAGCTAAATCCCTGGCCCTTGCTGCTTCTTGTGCAGAAGGTGGCTCCAGTTCACAGGAAGGCTGACAGCTTCCCACCCAGCGTCAATCTCTCAGTCCCAGGATGGTACCATATCCTGTGTCCCAGGATTCTGGGTGTCACTGCAGGAAAGCACCACGCTAAGAGGCCAAGGTGAGGCCCTGATGGCATAGGAGCAGAAATACCACTTGCTCCTGGTCTGTCTCTGCACTCACACTGCCACACCTCCACGCTCTTCCGACCCTTTGAAATGAAGGTGGTTGGCCTCCCCAGCTCTCTCCACAAACACTTTCTGCTGTGTGCTGGCCACCAGGACACACAGTGATGAACAGAACACAGATTCTGTGCTGAAGAAGCTTATGTCTTCCTCAGGAGAAAGGCAGGTGACACGGTGACAGTAAAATGTCCTGGAGGTGGCATAGTAACGGGGTGGGGCAGTGACATAGATGCTGGAGAGCCACTCTGTGCCCATGCTATATGCTGTGTGACCCTTTGAGCCACAGATGGTATGAAGAGGGGCATCACCCCTGGATCCTCCAGACCGAGTTTGGTGCCTGCTGCATATTGGATCTCAAGCAATGTTTGTTAAATGACTAAATAAGTACGGAAGACAGGGGGATGGGGGTGTCCTCTTCTCTTCCCCAGTTTCTTTTCATTCCTAATTCATGGTCCATCCTCTGGAGACCCAAGGGGCAGGTATTGCCCCAAAATGTGGCAATCTTTGAGACGGAGTGGCTAGGAAGAAGATCCGAGAAGAGTCCTGATACAGCTAGAGGAAGTCATAAGAAGCTGGAGGAGACTTCCTGGCACAGGTTCTGGAGAAGAACCCCAGGGACTGGTTCTTCAATTCCCAGGGCGTGGAAGGCACAGTCCCCAAAGGCTCGGGGTGGAGACCCTGGCGTGACTCAACATTCATTCAACAAGATGTTTACCAAGCACCTACCATGTGGCCAGCTCACACCAGCACCATGGCTGGGCATCGATTCACTGTGCACGAGGTAGATGAGCTGCCACCCCCGCCGCCCACACTGTGTCCCCACCAGTCTGGCCAACGGCCACTGATCAGTTCACACTGAGGTGCAGATGACTGATGGGGCCACAGGGGTATTTGCATGCTGACAGCAGCCAAAGCTGGCACTGCCTAAGCCAGAGAAGTGACTCATCACAGTGGTGGCTCAAATGTGGGCCCAGGAGTCACTGAACATATTTTGAACGGGGGTATCCATTCATTAACCAACCAAAGGCCTCTGGGCACTACCTACTCCTGCAGGAGATTGCATTTAGCCCTGGTGTACTCAAAGAAAACGAGGAAAGTCTTTGTTCTCATTAAATCAATCAAGAAGCATTACTGAGCACCTACTGTGTGCTGGGCACTGTCCTGAGCTGAGGAGACACTGTGGTGAACAAACCAATGACACTGAATGACACAGAATTTTAAAAACAAGTATACTTATTTTATTTTATTTTATTTATTATATTTTTATATATTTTTATATTATATTTATTTAAAATATTATATTTATTTATTATATTTTTATATATTATATATTTATTATATTTTATTTATTATATTTTAAAAACAAGTATACACTGGTCTAATACACCGCAAAATCCAGGAGTGACCTGGGAGAGGGTAGGCTCAAGGGGCATAGAGTCCAGAGTGAGGATGGGGTTACTGGGCTGCTAAGGTGCCCATATGGGCAGTGACATCTGCAGATGTTCACGCTCCTCATTTATGGATCCAGCCTCAAAGAGCAGGATGAGAACACAAAGCAGGGGTGCAGGCAGCCCAGAAATCTACTTGCAGAGAACATTCCAGAGCAAAGGACTGGCCAGCCCAGGAAGGGAGCCCCTGGAGGACCTAACCATGAGGCTCCGAGTTAAGGCACAGGACCAGGATGCCCAGTTGCTTTGCTTTGTTTTTGTTTTTGCTTTTTAATTTTTTGGTGCTGAAGACTGAACCCAGGGCCTCCTCCTTGCTAGGCAATCATTCTACCACTGAGCTAAATCCCCAGGCCCCAGGATCCACAGAGGTAGTCAGCAAGGTGTCTCTGGGTCCAGGGAAGGAGCCTCTGTCCTGGGGCAGGGAGGTACTGATGGCTCTAAGTGCCAGAGTCCAACCTGGATTGGAGACACAGAAAGGAACAAGACAGAGGGGTGTGGAGGCTGGAGCCTGTCCAGGGAAACACTGGGGGGAGAACTTCTTGGGGACCACAGGTATGGATTAGGTGGCTGGCCAGTGCCAATGTGCAAGCTGCTCCGATTTTCCCAGGACAGATGTCCTTTCAGGACAAGGGCTCTCAATTCTGAAACCAGGATTCTCAAGAGAACCAAGAGAGCTGGTCACCTTCAGTGGTACCTCTGTCCTGAACCACCACCAGCAGGCCCCACTTCATGCACGGTGACCCAGGAGAGGCAAGCAGGGCGTTTCAGGTCCAACAGTCCCACACCTGGAGATTGGGCAAGTGGAAGTAAGTGACTTGGAGGTCAGTTTGAGGGACACTAGTGACAGGGCCATGTGAGGACACAGAAGCCCAACAGAGAGCTGGCAGTGTGGAACTGGCCCTCTATTCTGCAATTAGAAACTCATAAAATTCCACATTGGCCAGGAAGTTATAGCTGTGTCTTTTTCAAGGAGTGGCTGCCTGCATCAGGCCACTAGCGGAAAGCAGAGCTCCAGGAAGCAGAAGCCCAGGTATGAATTGGCTTTGAACGCTGGGGAGGTTGCTTGGCTGCCAGGAGTCTCTGTTTCCTTGTTAGGTCTAGAGCTCTGCTCTAAGCCCAGGGTAAAACAGGTGTAGGGTCCCGGCCTCTAGTGGGCCTTTTTGTTCTTTTCATCTTTTTATTTTTTATTTTTATTTTTTGGCAGTTCTGGGATAGAACTCAGGACCTTGAGCATGTGAGGCAAGTGCTCTACTGCTGAGCTACACTCCAGCCCAGATTTTGGAGTTTTTAGTTAGACAATCCTTGTTTTATAAGTGTGAATTTTGAAGGATGCTGCTAAGAACATGAGTGAGCAAGAATGGACATTAATGTCTGCAGCAGCATTTTTGCAGACCCAGAGTGGAAGCAACTTGTGCCTGGGAAGAAGATACACAACATGCAGCCCCACATGATGGAGTAGTCCTCAGACACAAAAAGAGATGAAGCACTGATGTGTGCTACCGTGTGAAATAAGCCAGATACAAAAGGACAAGTACCACATGACTCACTATTAACGAGGCACCTGAGCAGTAAAGTTCGCGGAGCAAAGAGTGGGGGGGGGGGACACAGGTGCAGGGAAGAGGAGCAGGGCATTTGTGCTTTTGTAGGTGCAGAGCTTTGGTTTGGGGTAAGTCCTGAAAGGGGAGGTGGTAATAGCTGCACAACACGAGTGTGATCAATACCACTGAAATGCACACCTTAAAAAAAAAATCAAGAGTCACAGATTTAGCTCAGTGGTGTAAGCGCCTGCCTGCATGAGGTCGTTAGTTTGATCCCTGGTACAAAAAAAAAAAAAAAGATCAAAATGGTAATTCTTATATTATGTATATTTCATTACAACTAAAGAATCTGGCTTCCCAATGTGTCATGGTAAATAGGCATCTCAGGCCCTGTGGGCAGAACTGTCCCTACTTGCAACAGAGTTCTCCTACCCACCCCATTCTGTGACCCTGGCCACTGTCCTGGGTCCAAATGGTCTTATGGCACAGGAATTGTTTGGTTATTTTGTTTTTGTTTTTGTTTTAGTACTAGGGATTGAATCCAGGGCCTTTGCACTGAGCTATATTC